GTTGTACGCCATTCCTAATATAGAGACTTTAATGCGCTCACACAAGCGTCAACACATCCAGATCTACACAATCATTTCTAATACTTTATCATTATTTGTTCCCCTGGGGGTCTTGCAGTAAAGTGTTCGATTTGAAATTGGACAAATCAAAGACAGAAGAAAAGATTCCGAAAAGTGTGGATCTTTGTCGAACTCTTTCCGAAATCTCCGTTAGCACCTGGGGTCAGGTGTACTCGAAAAGAATAAGAGTTGCTAAAATTTCTTTTATCGACTTTGCCTCTCAGTTTTCGTCGGCACAGACATGACGATTCGCACGCTCACGTATGCTTACTTGTAGGGAACGTGTGTACTTGTTAATGCATACATGTATACGCGCATATAAGATGTGCATCTTTGTGTATGTATGACGCGTATCTATTCAGAATATGTATATGTTTGTTTTTATAGTGTGTGATTATATAGTTATTATTTCCGCGTACAAAAGTCATGTGTTTTTGTTGTGTGGTCACGTATATGTGTCATTATTTGTTTCCCTTCACAAATGAATGAAATATGAAATATGAAATATTACAAATGTCTTTTATTAATTGCAGATTTAGTGTGTAAAATTTCACCTATAAATATGAAATAAAATAAATAAATAAGAATATTTATTTTAAAATATGTAACTATAAAAGATATCAGCTCCAGAAAAAAATCTGAAGACGATTTCGATCTGAAGATAATAACGTCTTCTTAACAATCTTGTGAAGAAGAAGAAGAAGAAGAAGAAGAAGAAGAAGAAGAAGAATTGGGTAAGAAAGAAATGAACAAACGCTAAAAGCTCCTTTCTCATGCCAACGTAGATCCAAATAAGAAAATCGGGTTTGTTTTGATTTGGTATTTTTCTATGTATCCTTCATTCTGGAGTCGAAAAAATTAAATTGGTCTTTTCCTTTAACTCTCTTGAAGATTCCAATGCTGAAATTTAACATGATAATTGTTGTGGTGTCCTCCTTCTAAAGAGGACTCTTCCGCCTACTATAACATTAGTAGGAGAGAAGGCTTCTAAGGGATTTTTTTGGCCGAGCCTACGAGCTCGGAAAACCCACGGTAAACTCGGCCTTGTGCCACATACATCCCTGGGTGGGGAGCTGTTAAATATTAACAGTCGAATAGATTGAACACTGGTCAACCGACACACTCTTACTAGTCGTGTAATACTCTTCTTTTGTACTTACTGTTTAATATATGATATATCTTCAACACTTGCTTTGTTATTTCTTTAACCATTTATTTGGTCACAACAATAATTTTTGTACATTCTGCAAAGCAGCAAGATTCATGAAGGCAAAGAGAAACTAAAGCAGCTGTATCCTTTAAACCGAAAAGAAAATAACGGAAAAACCAGATGAACTTAACAAGAGAAATTTGAAAGGTATGTAAAAATCTTTTTCGGTAAAGTCCTACAATTGGACTATCAGTGTCTAAGGGTCTATATATAAAGATTTCTATATGTGCTGAAATTTTGGGGGACGTGGGATATTCTTCAATTTTTTTCATTTTGAAAGACCTGAATCAAGCATGACTAAAGTAAAGTCTTTTAAAGTAAAATAATTTAGTATAATAGTGTAAATGGTCTACAAAAAATCTTTGGCACAATAACAAATTTGGGCAATTTTTAATTTCAATTTTATATTAATTTTTATTTAATTTTTTCTTCAAATCATAACAAACACTGTGCTACTATTTCCTTTTTTCCATTATTTCTAATTGACTTATTATTACCACAATGTCAGGAAAGTAAGTAAACACACACACAAACATAACCACTCACACACACACGCATACATATATATGTTTGTGTGTGTGTGTTTGTGTGATAAAAGAAAACAATCGATTTGTTTGACCTCCTCTCCTAGCTCTTGTCGAGCATCGCAACAACTCTTCTTGGCAATTCAAATCATACTGTAGTATCTGTTGCTATTTCTTTTGAGTCGTCTATTAGACAGAAACTTCCTACCTATTCGCAAGACTTCTTTCTGTTACCAGCGTACTGGTAACAGAAGGAAGCGATTGGGATTTATTTCGTGACTTTCTTCGAGATGCCCCTTGGATTGATATTCTTAAATTTCCAATTCAAAATTGTGACATTGAGATGTTTACTTGGGTTAAAACTTGCATTGTTGCTTTTTGTACCTACTCAGAAATACCAGTTGAAAATACAATATTCTTTTTGGTTCACACCTGCCGCTATAACACACAGGAATCAATTTTCCGGTTGTACCAACGTGATGGTTTTCATCAGAACAGATGCCTCTTTGTATCTGCTCTAATTGTAAACGTGTTCACAAAGAGGCTAAGTGTTTCTTTGCTGACAGAATGAGTCACCGTATAGCCTCTAACAAGTTTGGTTTTCCTGATTATTGGAGGCTCTGTAATAATGTTTTAAATAAAAGTAAATATACTATTTCTCTTCTCTTCACTCACTTTTCTATTAACATTTTCTACAGGTAAAGTAGAATGGTTTGCTCGCAAATTCTTTCCGATTCTATTCTTGACTCATCTGGAGTATCTTTGGCTAACTTTCCACTTAGAACTGAGTCTCTGCTGTGTGTATTATGCATATAACTCCGCCCATGCTTTCTGCTATCATCTCTAAACTCGTTTCCCACAAATGTGTATTTGATAGCATCCCCGCAATAGTACTTAATAAATTTGATCCTGTACTGGATCTTCTTCTGTAGTTCAAGTCTTTAAAAACTCAGGTAAATCGACTGATCCTTCTATCGGTTTATTGGCTTTCTACCTCTTTTTGCCAACGTACTAGAGGCTCAAATCAACTCTGGATTGGTCAAGTATATCACTGTGCAGGGTCTTCTTTCTGATAAACGATATTGCTTTCGCTTTTCTAGATCAACAGCTGATGTATTAAAAATTTGCTGAAAGAAGCTATCAAAATTTAGATAAGAATGATGAAGCTCAGGCTGTTACCCAGGATATGTCGAAAGCGTTTGACAGGGTTTTTCCATGCTGATACAATATTTCTTATCAAATCGCGAAATGAACGTTGTCTTGAAAAGCCACTTTCTATATCTCTTTGATTTAATGCAGGTGCGCCCCACACAAGTCTCTATCCTTGGATTTACGTTAATTTTCTTCAACGACCTTTCTAGTTTTATCAGTTACCTACTAGGCGTCTATGCTAATGATACAACTATTTACTCTAATAAGGTCCTATCGGTTCGGTAAGGTCAGCTTGGTTGACCTAAAATCTGTTGGGGACTAGGGCAAGGAATGACGTGTTAATTTTAACGCCTCCAAAATGAAACTCCTCTATTTTAATTGTCTCGGATAACCCTTTTTTTCTTCTATCAACATGACTAATGCCAACCTCCAGGAGAGTGTGACTTATTGCGCCTTAACTTTTATCTGCTGACATGGAGTGGAAAGATTATATTGAATCAATTACTAGGTTTGTGGCTATGAACGTTTGTTCCCTGTGTCGTTCAAGCATTATTGCTGTCGCACATGGCCTGGTGCATCTTCTATGTATTAAGAGATTCTTGATAAAATATAAAGAAGAATCTGCAATATCATTTGTCCTGATCTTGTATCTCGGCTTCAGTGACTTTCCCGCTATTGTACTATAGCTTCCAGGTGTCTTTTCTAAAAAAAAATATTTTCATGGTACATTTCTGATGAACTTTCTTCTATGGTATCTACATTTTATGAATTTAAGCGCATTACTAGATTGGAGGTAAGGTCTTATTACTTTTATAACTGAAATGTTTACATCTAACCATAAATTCTGTGCTAACAGTTTTTCTTCTCGCACTTCCCGCTTGTGGAACTCTCTTCTGATTTCTTGCTTTTCGGTTAATTTTGATATTCAAGAATTTAATCTTGGGATGAAAAATGATTAGATAGGCATATTGTGTTTTTTGTTTCATTCTTCCCGATATATCCCCCAGTTTCTGAAATATGCTTGCATGTAACGTATGGGTTCAGCGTAGTTAGACACTAAACCACTTTAAATCATTAATTTGTATTTCGATATTGGCCTGTGTGATGTTTGCGTAACGCCATCGGTTCCACTGTAAAAGACAACAGACACGTGTACACATCCTTATACAATGTATAAATTGTTAGTCGCATCTGATCTTGAGTTAAGTATTTACTTTTAGTGATCAAGGAAAACAGTCTTTACAAATGAAACAATGCGAGATACTTACTTGACTGATTCGTTTCCTACGGTTTATCAACCATTTGCGGGTTATTTAAAGCCAGAAAATTACACAACTGAAGACCTCCGTCGATCAGGGTTGACCATGGGTAGCATCCTAGTTGTCTGCTTGAATAGAGTATCGATGTCTGTGAGTATAGAGGCCGATGGAGGAGTAACAATCTCTGTTGCAGAGGTCGCATGTGTCTTCTGCCTCATGTCTGTTGGAGCTGTCACTTTGCTTTATGTAGGCCCGCCTTTCCGTGACTTATTGTGTCAGCTTCTCCTTCCCTGACTTGAGATGTTTGGTCAGGGTTCCTCTCCACTTGTTGCCAGGCTCTTCCAGGACTCGATGTCGATGTCCACAGCTTTCATGTCGCGCTTCATGATAACGAGGTACCGCAGCTTTGGCCGCCCGGCAGGTCTTCTTCCAGAGGCCAATTCTCCATACATTTGGGGATGCGTCCATCTGGCATGCGGTGGACGTGGCCCAACCAACGGAGTCTGCGCTGTCTGAGCAGTGCGAACATGCTGAGCAGACCTGCTCGGGACAGGACCTCAGTGTTGGACACCTTGCCTGTCATGCTATTTCCAGAATGCAGCAGATGCTTATCATGCAAAAGGTGTGCAGACGCCTTTCTTGCCTAGTATACTTGGTCCAAGCCTTGTTGCCATATAGCAGTGTGCTGATGACACAGGTGTTCTTCACTGTCAGCTTGGGAGTGGTCCACACACGTGTTGTGAGGCGCGCAAGGGTCGTGGTTGCCTTCACGGTTGTCTTGTCAATCTCTGCGCCTACTGCATCCGGTATGCCCAAGCGGTCACACATCTAGATACTAACCAGACTAGACGTTGCTTAACTTCGGTAGTCGTATGGGAACCGGTATCTCAACGTGATGTGGTCTTAAGCCATGATAGATGCTTTCAGAATAATCGATATTTACTTAGATTTCCTTATAAGGACAGAGACTGATGCAACACAATCTTCGTATCCTTCCAGTCTATCAAATGATAAAGAGCCGCTTTCTTGCTTTGAAATCGATCATTTGAAATCCTGAATTGAATGTCCACAACTGATGCCGGGTGAAGCAATTTTGGATGGCATCTGTTTCATTTCACTTAATCTCATAGTCATATTATCAAGTGGTTAGAAGAAATTGATTTCTAATTTGCCGGGAGGGAGGGAACGTGAAACTGATTTCAACATACCCTCTACAGTTTCAGATTACCACCTCTTGCAAATGAACTGATTACTGATTAATACATTCGGATAGGTACGTTCGAAATGTTGTTGCTGCATATTGTATAGATTATGCAGACGATGAATGGGATCACAATCAAGACCTATTGTCGTCTTAATTATGAAACAACAAAAATGACCTTATATTAAAGTACAGCATGTAAGGTAAGAGAAAAACGATTATTATTTATTTTCAGGTTCTTATGTGGGGTTGGAGACACGAGAGACGGTAATACTGAATCAAATTGAGGTAAAGTCAAAATCAAATATGGATTGAAATCCGACAGAATAAAATAAAGAATACGTAAAGTATATACCGTCGTTCTCGTATGTTTTATAGATAGATAGATAGATAGATAGATAGATAGATAGATAGATAGATAGATGTGTGTAATGAGTCTCCAGATAATTACTTCGGAAAGTATAAGAAGTGCCTGGGATTTTCTTACCTCGAATTTTGTTGAGTGCTAATAAGAGAAAAATCCATTCTCCGGAAAGACTTATTGATCACAAAGAAAACATCTACATTACTCAGTTTCAAAATTAAACAAAGAAAAGTGCGCATTATATGAAGTAATTTATGGAAATAGGTGAGAAAAGATATAAATACAGATAACTAATTTCGTATAAATACTAAATATAATTCCGTGGATAGATTTAATTGTTAAGACAAAGATTCTGGAATAATAAATGATTTTTTTTTCATTTAAATATAAGCATCATTTTTCTCGCGGGATTTAGTAGTCCAACCAAAGTTTTCTTTACGCGGAAAAAAAAAGTTTCTAAGAAAATTAAAATGAAACCAAGAAAATGCGTATTATATGAGATAACTGACCCTAATCAAATATAAATGGTAAAAATAGTTAATGAACAATGCATCTAAAATCGATGCCTATAAAAGGCATGGATTTTATAGATGGATACATTAACTAATGAAATTCTGGATTTCTTTACTCATAAGAGTAAAAATTAAAACATAACAAGTATATATTATATGCAGTAAATTACAGTAATTCAATGGAAAAACGAAAAATATACTTATGTTTAATATATCCTTAACTGTATACACAATGTTTTTTTCATATATTCATTTATTTTGAGATTCTGTTGATTTAAAACCCCATATTTCTGGACGAAGAAGATGAAACAATTAAACCATGAGCTGCGCATTATACGAGATAATATACGATAATACAAATTATAAGACAAAAGTAAAGTTGATGACCTGCGTTCTTCAAAATTATTCTTTCACATAAATATTGGTTATCGGCTGTATTTAGTTGTCAAAACAGATTTTTGAATTAGTATATGAGATTATCGAAATGACATATGACAAAGATACATTATTAGCATTATTTCCATACTTTTTAAATTACTTTTTTTTATTTACATTCAAGTAATATTTACAAACTTCTGTGTTGGTATAATTTCGTAGTTATGGGAACATCATTTTGTAAATATAGTAACTCGTCAACACCTTAATTTGGGGGCAGCTAAGAATGAAAATGAAAATATAAAAAGTGCGTATTATATGAGGTAACTGACAATCACCTGAACTAAGACCAAAAGATAGACATGAGTGATACGTCCAACCTGTTTATTGAAAAATAATTTCCTTCAGAAGGCGTTATTTATATTAGGATTTTATTATTAGCGGATACAATCTTTAAAACATAAGGTATGCAGACGACATCGTGTTAGTAGCAGAAACTCAAGGACATTCTGGACTAGTACGGTTGTTAACGAAAGTACAACAAGTGCCCATTATATGAGGTATTTTACAGCAGTGACTAAGACACATGATATATCTTAGCCTGAAGATTGGGTTCAAACATGAAACAGACTATTGCCACTCGTTGTAATCGCAGTTTCTACTTTTAGATTTACGTACGCTTTAGCCCTGATACTGATCACGTTTACTATATATATATATATATATATATATATATATATATATATATATATATATGATGTACTCTCCCGTCGTTTTCGATGTATGGGTGTCTTTCAGCTCAGTTTATATGCTTATGTTTCGTATGAGATAACAATCCTGCACGGGATTTGCAAAGAAGTCTCCGCGAGGGACATGCTGAAGGGTTGAACGTCATCTGGGCTTATGTATTAGCCCGAAATTTAGTGTTGGTTCTTAATTCTGTCAGATGGTTGAGACGATTCTTTTCAAAATTAGTTATACATCGGTAGCAGGTGTTTCTCCAGTTTGCTTGCTTTTCAACAGCAAGTTCGAACTCCTCTATAGGTATGTTTGCAGCATTTAAATTGTATTTAAGTTTGTTCTTGAAACGTAACCAAGGATGGCCTACATTACGCTTACCATGAAAAAGGTGGCTATACATGTGGATTTTCGGCATTTGAGCATCACTCATTCTGATGACTTGACCAGCCCATCTGAACCGTGATTGTATCAGAAAGGGTTCGATACCACCGATGCTACATTTGATGAAATGATCAGGGTTAGAGATTTTGTCCTGGCGTGTATAACAGCTTATTGAACAAAGACAGCGTTTATGAAAAGCATGAAGTGAACTGATGCGTGTTGTGTATGGCGTCCACGATTCTGAGCCATAAAGAACTGTGGTAAGAATGACTGATAGAATGAATGCTTGATAGACACTGATTTTCGTTTTCAGTGAAATCACACGAACATCACACAGGTGATGCTTAAATTTCCCAAATGCATTGGTTGCCTTTGATATTCGGTTAACTATTTCGTTAGGCAAAGTGGCCCTTGAATTGACTTTGCTTCCTAAGTACGAGAATGATTTTACATACTTCAGGTTGTTGATGCCAACTATAATGGGAAAGATTAGAAAGTTATGGGAAGGTGGTTTTTGTTTTACGTCCTTGACCTGCTTAGGTGTAGTCGCCTTGGTTGATGGACAAATTCAATTATCTTTATGCTTATAGTTAATCCGAATCCGTTGCAACAGGTGGAAAAACGATCAAGTGCTTCAGCTTCTTTGATTGGGGTAGCCACGATCGCAGTGTCATCAGAAAATAAAAGATCACGAATAATCATTGCTCGAGTCAGCGATATTGCTTTAAAACGTTGATGGTTAAAGAGGCCGCCACTTTTGCGGAATTCAAATTTCACACCCATCTCAAGATCACTACAAACATTGTGTAACATGACCGAAAAGAAGAGAGTGAAAAGTAAAGGAGCCATGACACAACCTTGTTTTGTGCCATTTGTTACATCGAAGGCTTCTGAAAACTCTCCATTAGATAGAACAGATGCTTTCATTTCTTCGTGAAACGAGATGATGACATTTACCATATTTTCAGGGATGCCAAGCTTTTTGAATACTTTCCAGAGGGCAGCCCTGTTTACAGTGCCAAACGCTTTGGTAAGATCGATAAAGACGTTATAGAGTACATGGTTCTTCTCGCGAACTTTTCCAGCAACATGACGAAGTGAGAAAAATTATATCAATGGTTCCACAACCTGAACGAGAGCCAAACTGAGATTCGGAATAGATATCGTAAATAAGATATTTGATTATTCTGTTGAGAATAATAGGAGCAAGAATTTTGCCATCGATACTTAGAAGTGAAATGCCACGGGAATCATCACATAAACTTGTTTGCTTTTTTCTTTAACAGATGATATATGCAAGCATCTTTGTAGTCCTGTGGAACAGAAGCAACCTTCTATCTGGCTTTAAAAAACTCAAGGATTTTCTTAAGCAGCGTCCCCCCATCATATTTTAAAATTTCAGGGAGAATAGCATCTTTTCCTGGGGTTTTGTTCGAGGGCAATTTCCTTTAGGCATGGCTCAAGAGACAACTGGGAAACTTCTGGTCGCTGATCAATTGAAGCAATGCCGTTTTCATCGATGGCAGAAGTTGAGTTAAGGACACTTTCAAAGTGTTCTTTCCATCGTGATATAATTTCCTTCTTGTCTGTGTGAAGTGTGTTACCGTCAAGCGACAGAACAAGTGAAATTCCATTTCATTGTGGTCCGTACACCTTTTTAAGGCCTTTATAGAATGCTTTTGGATTTTTGTGTCAGCTGCCGCCTGGAGTTCCACAGCCTTAGCAAACCACCAGGACGCTTTCATTTTTCTGAGAACATTTTGCACTTCTTGCTTGCACTGTTTATATATGCCCTTTTTGATGGTCAATATTTGTTGATTATTAATATTTTGTGAGACTCATGCATCTTCTCGATGTGACGTTGAACGTGAGCATCATTTACATCGAACCAGTCCTGATGCTTCCTTATGGGAAATCCTAGAAGGTAGCTGGAATAAATGGCATCTCTGAGAGATTTTCAGGAAGATTCAATATCTTCTGAGATCACAACTGAATCAAGCCTCGAATCCACTATGTCACAGAATTATTTCTTCTTAACATCAGAATTCACGGGTGAGATGTTGATTCATTTGCTAACGAGGTTTCTTGCGTACGATTAAAAAAGGATGCTTTTTCTGCGTAGTAGGGCATGGTCTGAAAGATAGCAAGTGTTTTGGAAAGACCTGGTGATATTGAAGTCTTTCGCGTCACGTTTCTTCGTGATAATGTAATCAATCTGGGATACATCCAAATCGTTTTGTGGTGATTGGACTGCTGATAATATGTATTGGTGATGGTGAGATCGAATAGAAGAGAGAAAGAAGTCGTAGCCCATTAGAATTCACACTCC